CACCAGCCAATAGCCTTTCTTCTTGCCTCTTTCCCCACTTTGCTTATCCAGTTCCTTCCAAGCTCTTCTGATTCTTGGAATCACAGCCTAATGTTTACCTTTACCTTCCTGCTGCTTGTGGTCCAAGTTATCAGCCTTTCTTAGCTGCATCATGCTGCGTCAGACCTCTAGCTGGTCTCTGCTTTTTCTCTTGCTGCCTATAGTCCAGTGCACACCCAGAAGTCAGAGTGACCTTTCAAATAGATTGTGCTACCTCTATGCTGACACTTTCTTGGAAGCTTCCCTTGAGATTTACAATGAAATCCAAAGCCCATTTTACCGTGGCCTCCAAGGTCCCCCTGACTTGGCCTCTTTTATTTGACCAACCTCAGCCCTTTTCCCCATGACCTGCATTCTGAATGTGCCAACAACTCCTTCCATCTCAAAGCCTTGGTGCTTGCTCTATCCTCTGTGTAGCATCATCTCTCCTCCTGGATGGTAGCAGGTTCAGTCCTCACTTCGCTCCAGTCTCTGCTCAAAGATCCGCTTTTCAGAGGGCCTCACATAGTCCCTCTCCTTTTATTTTTATTTTTTAATTTTATGTATTTGGTGTGGGGTCTCACTATGCAGCTCAGACTCATAGTGATCCTGTTGTTTCCAGCCTTCCATCACTGGGATTACAGGCTTGAGCCCGGGCTTGGCATGGCATGTAGTGCTGGGGATCAAACCCTGGTCCCTGTGCTTGCCTTAGCAGGCCCTCAGTCCACTGAGCTATCTCGATGGCCCTCCCCTCTCCCTTTCTGACCTTTCCCTTGTTTGCCTTTTCTTTACAGCATGTATGGCTTCATCAGTGTGTGTGTGTGTGTGTGTGTGTGTGTGTGTGTGTGTGTATGTGCACGTGTGCTCTGTTTTTCGCCTTAGAGTATGAGTTCATGAAGATAATATTTGCTATTTGTGAGGATAATGAAACAAGTACAAGAGGTCCAAGGGTTGGCATCCAACCCAGACACTGGGAAGCCAGCAAGGGGTTTTCAGAGGAAGTGACAAGCCTCTGTCACTCCTGCAAAGGGGAGTGCACCAAAGTGCTCCTCCCCTGGGATCATATATTCCCTGAGTGGTCAGGATGGTGTCTTCTTGGTACCACCAGACCTGTCCGCCATATTTTTTCTTGTCTGCCCATGAAATGTAACATAGAAAGTGCTGTCAGAAAAATGTATGATTGGCACTTTCCTTGGGAGAAGAGCTTCAGTGGCTGGAGGCCTTTAAAATTCTTTCTAGTGACCTGACATCTTGTTGACTGGACCAGCCTTCTATGAACCAGAAACTATCCCCTCTTGACCTGGGTTCCAAAGGACGTGACTAGCTCCAGCCTACTGAGTAAGGTTCTGAGCACTGTCCTCTGTGTCAGCGAATGCAGGGCAGATCTGAAGCCAGCAGAGACTTCACTTTCTCCCAGTGGGCTCTCTACTGCCCTCTTGTTAGAAGTGGGGTGGGTGATGGAGTTGCATGGGGAAACCTAAGCCATTAGAACGAAGCTTTAGGCCATTTTCTATTGCTGTAGTTGAAGCCCAGCAGATTGGATAATTTATTAAGGATAGAGGTTCATTTAATGATCCCTCGTTCTGGCGGCTCAGAAGTCCAAGGCAGTGGTGCTGGCATCTGGTGAGGGCCTTCCTGTTGCATCCCAACATGGCAGATGGCATCACATGGGAAGACAGAGTAAGGGTGAGATTTTGGGTCTCTCTCTTCTTGTAAAGCCACTAATCCCATCATGAGGCCCTAACTCTTAGGTTCTAACCCTTAGGGCCTCATTTCATTCTTTTTTTTTTTTTTTAATTTTATTTATTTGTGTGTGTGTGTGTGTGTGTGTGTGTGTGTGTGTGTGTGGCCAGCTCAGCCCACCAGGGGGCAGGGCTGGCTGGCATGTGGTGCTGGGGGATTGAACCGTGGTCCCTGCACTTTGCTAAGCTTGTTCTAAGTAGGTGCTTTAGACCACTGAGCCATCTCACCAGCCCCCTCATTTCATTCTGATTACCTTCCCAGGACCTTACCTCCAAAGGCTGTTAACATGTGACTATAGGGATTATGTTTCCAATACAGACAAATTTGGGGTAAACATCCAAACCATAGCAAAGGTGTTAGAAATCCTTTGGGGCCTCAGAGCCAGGCCTCTCCTGCTGGGTTGGGCCTGAGGTACTAGGGCTGCTCTCCAAAATATAGACGTACATGGCTTTTTGCCTGGCTTTCAGTCATCACTCAAAAGGGAGTTGTGTGAATGCATAGGATTCCTGGAGATAATCACCTCGATGATTGACATCTCTGTGTCGGAATGAGGCTGTTGTATTGCTTACTTTCAGTGTCAGATTTGAAGCCTCTATTTAGAGTGGAAAATACTGAGATACTAGACTCTTAAGGGAATGAAGCTGGGCTAGGATTTTCCTCCAAAGGGTTGTGCTTTTAATTTTTTTTTTTTTTTTTTAAAGATGTTTCCTTGTTTGTATTTATTTTTATTTTTGGCGGGACTAGGGATTGAACTTGGGCCTTTGCACTTGCCAGGGAAATGGTTATTCCACTGAGCCATCTCCCTAGCCCCCTGTGCTTGTATTTCAAGCAATAGATAGCCCCACTCACCAGCTCTTAAGGTGCCCGTGAATCAGGCAACAATGAAGGGCAGTATTCATAGGAGAGAAAGAAACAGTGAAACTGAATGCCATCCCCAGAATCCCTATAACTTCCGTCCCTCTTCTTTTGGAGTAGTGTCTTCACATAAGAGAATCTGCAGGTCACTAATGATGGCACCATAATGGCCTGGGGGACTATATGCTATCTCTTCCTTTGTCCCAGTGGGTAGAAACCTGTGCACAGAATTAACCAAAGGGGCTCATTAATGAGGGCTGAATCTTCCCAAGAACACCAGTTCCCTTCCTCTGAAAGGGGAGCAAGCCTGGTTCCAGAGTCACAACCAGGTAGACTATCTGCTCCTGCTCATCTTGGCTCTGGGGCCTTTGACCTGAAGCATGAAGCAGCGAGTGTGTCAGAGGGCAGAGTGGCTGTTCCTCATCCGGGAGACACTGGCTAAGGACCAGGGGAGCCTGCATCCTCTCCGAGGGTTACCCTGACCACTCCTCCTCCTCCTTCCCTTCTCTTGTTTTGGGGTTCCCATCTGTGTTTTCCTTTCCATGTTTTCTTTATGATTATCTGACCAGCTCCTTCTTCCAGGGTCTCTGTTTCTGCTCTTCCCAGCACCCAAACGCAAGCTTTCCATTGTATGGCACCATGTCTAGTCTCAAAGCCACACTTCCACCCAACTTTAGTGTCACACCTTCTGACTGACACGCAGGGCTCAACTTAAACTTACAGGGACTTTTACAAATGGAGATCAGATGCTCGCTCTTTTTTTCCCCCAGATGGTCACTCTTGCCCAGTCTGCTGTGGGCAGGCAGACAGAAGGCAGGCCATTCAGCCTGTCAAGACAGTGGGGGTTCTTTCAGAAGTGGGTATGGCTAGGAAACAAACCCAATGTACAAGCCAAATTCCAGTACAGTCTTGAAGGAGACTCTCATCTCAAGTGGTTAAAGGGTAGAGGTGGATCAAAATCAAGACCAGGTAAAATGACAAGGGCTGGAAGTTTGCAGTGAGGATGACACCTGCTCCAGGTGGCCAGGATCCTGGCTGTTCTATTGCTCCAGCCAGGTTTAGGGATGAATCAAGTCAAAGCTCATTTCCACAAGCGATTTGGAGTCAGACCATCTCATATTTGAGACCTGTCTTTGCTACTTATGAGTTATAGCATCTTGAATGGGTTATGCGCTGTCTTTGAGTCTTAATTTCACCTGAAAACAGTATCCATCTCAGAATTGTAATGACATTAAATAAAGTAGTGTAACCAACATGCATCTTGTGTGCAAGAAATGAGAATTTAAAAAATGTTAGTTATGTCTCCATCCTAGGATCTCAAATAGCTCTGTGAATTTAAGGGGGCCAAATTGGCCCTATGGACAACTGATTGGGTGTTGGGGGGTAGTTTGTACTCTGGGGAAAGAAACTTTTTAAGCTAATGGTGGTATGGAACTCCTAGCTGGGGGTCCCTCATACCTGGCGGAGATCACCAAGTCCCACTGTGGCCACACCCCATTGGTACCCCCACTACAAAGAGAAGAGGCAGTGGTTTATAGTGTGAATCCAGTTTACCAAATTCAAACCCTGAATCTATCCCCAACTGGCCCTGAGCTTTGGGGCTCATTCCTAAGCCCCTGTACAAAATCTTCAGTTTCCTTGACTGCATTTTGCAGACAATTCCAGCGCCTCCCATGAAGGATTAAGAGAGATCCACAGGAGGGCTGTCGTGCACAATACCCAGACCTAGTAAACCTGCACTCGCTGGGGACTGCTGTTATAATTTGTGATGTAGAAACAAAATGGAACAAATAAGTGACTCCGGTTAGTGAAGGGACTGGTAAGGAGTGATGAGGGAAAAGAGTCTTGGGGTCCTACAACTCAGTTAGGTGGCCCCAGAGACCGGTGCCCTCCTGCCCAAGGGCCTCCCTCACACAGTTGAATGCAGAGGGACGGTGACCACCTTGCAAGAACTGTAGGAGCATCCACAGCAGAATGTTTCCACTTTATTGTCTGTAAACTCTTCTTTGGTAAACAAGAAGACAGGAACCCCGAAGAGAAAAGAAGCACACTGAGTACAGGAGGCAAGGAGAGGACTGGTGCCTCGCACAACAGAATTCCAAGAAGACAGCTACACCATTAGCAAGGTGGTGGGTGGGAGCAAAGGCAGGGGGCAGCGAGAGGGAGGAGTCTACGCTGTTGGACGTCAAAGCCTAAATCCTACAGTGGATGAGCTCATGCACCACAGCAAAGAGAACAGGGAAGCTCCGCCCACGCCCCACCCACCTTCCACGCAGCTGGTGACCCCTGGCGGGCAGAAGGTGTGCCTGGTTGCGGCTGCTTAGAGGCAGGCTTGAAGGAGGTCCCTCAGCTGCCCACCCTCCATCTCTCCTTTCCTGTTCTGCAGGCTGGTGAGCAAGTTGCAGGGGTGGTGGGAGGGGCACCCATGATCTCTGGGTCTGGGGAGAGGTATCAGGGCTGCAAGGGAAGGGTTTGGGAGAGGTGGAGGAGCCCTTGTCCCTCCATTTACATGAGCGGCTCGCTGCACAGCACGATCTCCAGGTCCTTCCGGTAGAGCTTGCCTGCCTCAGCCAAGGACATGACACTCTTTCTGTAGTTGGTGAGCTGCTGGATATTCATTTCCTAGGTGAGGGAGAGAGGGAGAAGGCAGGCTCAGCAGAGGACCCCATCCCACGGAGCCCTCCTAGCCTTCACACCTGAACCTTGCATCTTCCCTGTGGGCAGGGACTCAAGGACACAGGGCACACTTTGGAGTCTCACGGACCCGGGTTAAAAGCCTTGTTTTCCCTATTGGCTGTGTTGTTGGAGGAGGCTGTCTTTCTGAGGCTCAGCTGCCTCGCCTGCAGAATGGGTCCATTAAGAATACAACACTTGCCTTGTTGTTACAACGATCAGGCAAGGGAACTAATGGAAACAACCTTGGCACATCACCTGTGCTAATAAGCACATCAGAAAAGAGCAGCAATGGGGGTGCAGTTGTTACTCCGCATGAGGTCCACTGCCTCGGAGCCAGGCTGGCTCTCTGTGGTTGCTGGAGACGTGGCCCCAAGAGCTCCTCGGTCTTCAGGCCTTCTGGATCACACTTTCTTAAGCAGGTCCAGTCTAAACAAGGGATCCTGTTTCCTCCTGCAACAGAGCTCTCCGGCCTACTCTATTTGCTGGCTTCTTACTGTCTTCAGAGCCTCTGAGATAGGCAATCCATGAATACATGCCCAGAGTGTCGCGTAAAATGGAGGCCAAAATTAAACAGAATAACCCAATAACTTATATAGCGTACAGACTTTATAACAACTGCTTTGGATAAACATAACAATGGTCTGAAGTAGAGCAAGGTCACCCATCACCAGACTGGAAAATCACTTAAGGGTTTCTTTCCACCCTTTCCTCTGCCTCTTCCTTCCATTTTTCTCCTTTCTTCTCCTCCTATTTTTCTCCTCCTCCTCATTCTTCTGTATTGAAAACAATGGCTGATACTTTTTTTTTTTTTTTTTTTTTTTAAATCTCCATTCTGCTAGTGAGAAAACTGAGGCATGAGTACTAAGGTCGTCCCTAAAAGTCAAACCAACTCATAAAAAGTCTGTGTCTTCACCTGGCTCACATGTTCTTTGTTTCTTCTTCTTGGGGCTCAAAGGGCAGTCTTTTTCTTGCTATTTAGGGACAGTCCTCGTGTTACTGACCTGGTTTGGTGCTACTACCCAGCGCAAGACCCTTTCCAAGCACTTCTAGCATGGGGCGGGAGGCCTCTTTCTTAAAGCTGTGAAGTCCCTGGAAATGTTGCCTCATTGGTAACACTGGGCGCACCTGGGCTTTCTGAGATTCAAGTAGGAGCCAAGGAGGAGACTCCCACCCAACAGCCTGGGCTTGAGAAGATCTCACGGGGAAGCACGGCTGTACGCAAGTTAGTGTCTTAGCGGATGGGGCTGCTTGCTTTCAACGTCTCCAAGTTTTACTTGAGACTGGGAAAGGCTCTTCTGAGTTGCCATGATCTTAGGTTTGCTGAGAAATAGCGAAGTTCCATCCATCAGCCGGTCCCTTCTGGAGCTTGCAGTATTAATCTGCTCAGGAGCATTATCACAGGCCATGCAGGCACCACCGGAATGAAGCTTCATCTGCTGTGTGGGCCTTCCCGAAATGGCCATTCCCATTCCTGCTCACTTGCTGTTGTTATTTAGTCATGTAGCTCCTGCTCTCGGATTCACTGTCTAAATCCCCAGGTGCTGGATCTGGGGCCCGGCCCAGGTGGAAGGCTCTCAGGTAAACAGCTTTATTCATAGCCTGTTCTCTAGCCTTCAGAGTTGCTTCCAAATCCTGACACCTGAATCTCTGCATTTGCTTGCACATCTGGAGTGAAGCTGTGCAGCTCCTTGCATTGTCCTCCTTACTCAGAAAGCCCCTAATGAGTTAATGACCAGGACATGCAGATCCCTTCAAGAGTAATATGTACCTTCAGGGTTTATCAACGTCAGGTGTTAGGCAGGGCCTCGGAAAGACTAATCACACCTCATTAATCCAATTACTGTTATAAGTATTTTGCATTATGGTCCCCAACATTCCTTGTATGCATAAATAATTTTCACCTAAGGTGATGCCAGGAAAAAGTTAGCTGAGTTCAAATCCCTGGTGAGGACTCTCCTCTTCCTAGGAAGTATTTGATTTCTTATCATTTATTTTCTGCCTTTTTGAAAAAGCACTTGTAGGTAATATGAAAAAAAAGTAAGATGAAATAAATGAGAGATGATATTCCAGATGAAGATAAAGAGATCAGAAAGCACTTGGAAATAGAGAAGCTGCAGTGAATTTTTTTCCTCTGAAATTGAGCATTAAATTTAGCTCTTGTTTGGCAGCCAAAGCAGTTAGACAACTCAAAGAATTATAGAGATTTCATCATCTAATTAAAGAAAGCAGCAAAACCACTTGGTCCATGAAAGACATTTTTCAGGCCATGAAGGAAGACAGCTGTGGCCTGGTCTCCTGGTGCCGTCACAGGATCTCTTCTGGCTAGGGACCAAGGTGACCTCCCTGAGGGTCCCTGTAAGATACTCAAGAGCTAACACCAGGCAGGAGCATGTGGGTCACCACTCAACCTTTTCTGTGAGAGGAATAAGCACTTTGGTGGTGCCTTTCGATTCCTTCCCAGCTCCAGAGTCTGTACTCAGTCAAATTCAGAATAGCCCACTTCCCTTACCGGGGCTCTCCACAATCGCTCTTTGTGTTCAAAGTCTTCTTTCTTGGCAATGTGGCTGATGCTTCCATGAGCCCTGGAGGTGTCAGAACGGCTACTGCCTCATCATAGTATCACTTGTAGCAGCCTCCAGGTGGAAGCAACCCAAGGGGCAACAGGTACAATGCAATTTAAACATTCATGGTAACGTTACTCAACTTTTTTTTTTTCAGCTTTTTAAAAAAATGTATTTGGTACAGGGTCTTACTATGCAGCTCAGACTTGTAGTGGTCCTGCTTTCAACTTTTGTTTTTTTTTTTTTTAAGATACAGGATCTTGCTAGGCAGTTCAGACTTGTAGTGATCTTTCTGTCTCAGCCTCCTCAGTGCTGGGATTATGGTATGCACCAACAAGTCTGGTTTTGGGGACAGCATGGTATGTGGTACCAGGGATCAAACCCAGGTTCTTGTGCTTGCCAGGCAGGTGCTTAGGCCACCAAGCTATCTCCCCAGCCCACTCAATGTTGAGAAGGAAGGAAATTCTGCCAATGCTTACAACACAGATGAATGTTGGGCAGCGTGAAATAAGCCAGTCATGAAGAGACTGTTGGATTCTCCCTTGATGACAATCCTGCAGTAGTTTGGTAGTTAAATTTATACAGACAGAAAGTAGAACAGTTGCTGGCAGGTGGGAGGTGCGGAATGGAGAGTTATTGTTTAGTAGGTTATTTCTCTTTAGTTTTGCAAGATGGAAAAAGTTCTGGACATGGAGGATGATGATGTTTATGCAGCATTATAAATATGTTTAATACTGCTGAACTGTACACTTAAAATGGTGGAGATGGTAAACCATATTATATGCATTTTACTACAATTAAATACAAAAAAATCGATTAACCAACCAGAAATAAAAACAAAGCCCTTGATTGTCTGGTGGCGGGATGCAGCATGGTGTTTCTCCACCACACACTCAGGGAACCCCATCCAAGGCCCTGGGCTTGCTTGCTCACCTTCTTGTTCTTCTCATAGAGATCCTTCAAAAGCGCATCCAGTTCATTCTCATCAATGTAGCCACTTCCATCCTAGGAGGGCATGAGAGGGGCAGCTTAGAGCTCTGAGACCCCGGGCCTCGCTAGCCTTCCTCGTCTCGCTACCACCTGGTGGTTTCCTCCCACCCATTCTGAGGAGCACCGAGGGCCTAACCTAACATTACACTGTGCAAATGGAGGCATGCAGATCACGTAATGACAGGATAGCCTTCACTTCTGTCTCTACCGGTCAGCACAGGCGCAGGGCAGCTCAGTGCACTCCGGTTAGCCTCACAAGAATGAGGCTCCAGAAGCACAGTTAGTTAGTTCCTTGAGCCTGGGCCTATTTAAACACTACCTCCACACTCTTCAAGGCTGAAGCAGGGGGGTTGTAAGTTCAAGCCCAGTCACCTGGGGAACTTAAAAACTTAGCAAGATTCAGTCTCAAAAATAAAATAAAGAGAAAAGAAAAAGTGTCTGGATCTAGCTCAGTGCAAAGGCCCTAGGTTCAATCCCCCAGTATTGAAAAAGAAAAGTCTGCAACTAAAATCTGGTTATAAAGATCCCTAGACTCACATGGGCAGGGACAGCTAAGGGAGGGGTAGAGGAGGGCAAGGAGGTCACCTTGCTCCAACAGTCCTAGGAAAACGATGCCCCGGTGTACCACGCTGCCCCGGCAGCACTGAGATCACAGCGTAGCTCCAAGCATGATGCTTGGACCCACTTCCGCTGATTATCCTCCCCTGGGTTTTCAAGAAACCTCACTCTTAGGCTCCATAGGCCGTGGAGCAAGAGTGACATTATTGCTGCCGTATAGCAGGGGCCCCTCTTGAAGAAAGCTGTCTTAGTGCAGCCAGAGTTGAGCTATTGTGGCCAGGGCTCCCCTGCATGCCACACTGTTCCTTCTCACCTTGTCATAAAATGTAAAGATGGCATTGAACTCCTCTGAGGTCAACTTCATGCCCTGTAAGAACCAAGGCATTAAAGAAAGAAGCAAAAGCCCCAAACGCACATGTGTGTGTGTGTGTGTGTGTTAGTGTATACATGTGTTACATGCATGTGCTCCATTTTGGGACACAGGAGGGCGGAGAGCTGCAGTTTAGAGAGATTAAGAGGAAAGGGGAAGCAAAGTGAAGTGAAGTGGCTCTTTTACCTGAAATTTAAGCAGGAAGTTTTCCTGTACCGGCAAGAGTCTAGAAAGAAAATGTCAGAGCAGAGATTAGGAGACAAGACCCAGGCAGGAACCAGTGGATGGGGAGTACAGAGGCAGCCTCTCTAGTTGTCAGATCCATTTCTGATTCCTGAGTACTTCATAATCGGGAATTAGTAGAAAGTTCCAAAAAAGACAGTGGACAAAGTGAGGGATTGACATTGCTAATTCCACCTGGCTTTGTCTCGGGCTCCATGACCACTGGCCCTGTCACTTATCCCATCCACTGATCTCAGCAATGTAGATGGTAGCACAGGAGCCAAAGTAGGGGTGAGAGCAGGTGCTTACCGAGACATCTCTGAGAGGCCCAATTTGCCATCCCCGTTTAAGTCAAACATGCGCAGCTGTTGGGGACAGAAAGTAGTGCTGAGGTTAATTGCATTGACCTTGTCTCACATGTGGTTTTGGCCTGCCATCCCCTCCCATTGGAAAGGAGAGGCAGGTGAAGCGTGCTTGTGCCTTCTCTTAGGTCACTTGGAAGATGGGGACCAACATGTTCTAAATCAGCCACTGGGTGAGACAGCAAGGACTCAATCCCTGCTCCTCCTTCCCCTTCCCACAGAGAGGTGTGGCTGAGGCCCGGTGGTGGTCTGAGTCACAGCACCAAAGGCCCACCCTGTCCTGGTTTACTCACTCTTGGAGTTACTGAGGTTGCCATGGAAACAGATGCTCTCCTCCCCTGTCAGTATCACAGTGGCCCAAGAGTCAGCTCAGAGGGGACCTCAAAGGGTATTTGGGGCCATGAACCCACACCCCTAAAGCCAGTAGCTGTATGAGTTGCTTCTTGTGAGCCTGAAGACCCAGCAAACCAAAGACCCTGCACACCAGAACCCCCAGTGCCTTGGGGCCCAGGAGGAGGGATATTCCTGTCCACTCACTATGGTTTGGGTATATTCCTGGAGTTTAGGCTCATCATATGGCCGGTTGGCCTTCTTCAGCAGATCAGACAGGAATCCCTGGAACACAAAAGGCTTCTTCAGAGCTAGAGTCCTGTGATTTCTTTCTTTCTTTTTTTTTATTTTTTTATTTTTTTGATTTCTTTCATGTGTTCACTAATTCATTCCTTCAGCATTGCTTGATGAGGTCTACTAGTTATATAGCTCATTCCCTCATCCCTTAACATTTGTGGAATGAACTTGGAAGTCTTGGGTGACAACTAGGAGCAACTTGGTCCCACTGAACAGATAGTAGAGGGTCAGCCTGTCTTCTCCGAGCCCAGTATTAGGGTACAGTGGTGTCCAGGGTTCTGGGGGCCCAAAGGAATTTGGGAGTGGACATACAAGCTAGGAGTCTCCTGGAATGGCCTCCAGGATGACTGTCCCAGGCCCTAAGGTGTGCTCTGCTTGAACTCTGTGACCTGGCAAGCTCCATATTACTGATTTCACAGGAGCAAGTCCAGCAGTTTAGTACCATGTTCCATTCCTCTTAAGCAGACCACAAGTCCATGCCCCTCACCCAACACCTCCTCCCTCCAAGGGTTCCTTAAGTCTGCGGTCATTCTGGTCTTACTCTCATGTCCATGTCCCTCATACCGTCCCCAAATCCCATCCTACCTTGAGCTCATTGGCTTCAATGTAGCCACTTCGGTCTGTGTCATACTTCCTCCAAGCCTGAAATGGGAAAGTCAATTGATTCACAAAGACATATCAAAATCTACATGTCTCCGTTTCATTTCTCTCTAGCAGACCAGTCAGGGTCTCAGTATTCAAGGATATTGGAGTAGACTGGGGACATGGAGGTGTTCTAGCTCAGTCTGTTCAATGTCACAGAGGAGGAAATGAGGAGGTATCTTGGTTAAGGTCACACAGATAAGGAGGAAAACTGCTTGGATAAAGC